TCTGACCCTCCCATAGACAGCAAGGTAACTACCACGTTCAAGGTCCAGAAAAGTACCAAGATGATCGACAAAGTAGTCCGTGTGACATCAGTGGTTCAACTGTAAAGCCACATGCTCATGCGTCATGATACTGTTGTGAATGCGCATCCAAAGTGACGCAGTAGAGACGAAAATGCGGAATAAAGTCGTTATTTTTGTTTTCTTTGCGCAAAAAAAGTATTCTCGTAGCTTCGTAACTTTACAGTTGAACCACTGATGTCACACAGACTACTAGGGTGAGTAATTAATGACAGAATTTTAATTTTTGGGTGAACTAACCCTTTAATTTGGTGTTACTTGCTGTTTCTTCATAATTATTTGTGAAATTTACTAGCAATTTCTGAAAATGAGTGAAAACTGTTTCTACACCAATTTTTTCAACTCATCTAAATGTGCCTTCTGTTTAACAGAGGTTTTCTCTCCTCAGAGCAATACGCTGTGAGCGAGTTCTTAAAAGCATCTAAAGATGGACAGGATATCGATGGAGAGGTACTCACCTATCTAGAGCTTGCTCAGGTAAATCGATCTTTTGTTATTAAAATGGATAATTGACAGTGGATAAAAGTGTCAGCTAAATGTATAAATGTAAATATTAGTGATTATATTGTAATGTAAATGTTAGTGCTAATTAATCACATAGGTTTGATGTGGTGAGTGGCGATTAATCGACCCTAATGATAAAACATTTGATCGTACATATCTCTACACTCTAAATAACAAATACAATACAATACAAATGCATGTTATAATCTTCATTCAAATGACCTGTTATATCTTAATGTTCCTCGGGTCCTAGCAAAGCTCATTATAATGCTTCTTTTGCTTGGAATAATCTACAAAATAATTTAATGCTGCTCATACTCCCATCATTTTAACAGATTCTGCTTTATTCTTCTGATAAATTGTTGTTGTGATTCATGATTATGTTGTATTGTGTTTGATGTTGTAAATTTTGTATATTTTTGTTATTTGTTGCTGCCCTCTTGGCCAGGTCATGCTTGTAAAGGATATTTTTAATCGCAATGAGTTTTTAACCTGGTTAGATTTTAGGTTAAAGAAATTGAATGAATTTGAATCAGTATAAATGAAATATATCCTAATAATATTTGTTTATTGGCATCTTTTTTGCTGAGTATGGCACGGGGGGCATGTACTGTAATTAGTATTATATGTTCATGCTAAAAAACATTAGTGTAGCCTCATGAAGTAAAAATAGATATTGAAATAGTTGCGATAATTATTTTTAAAGCGTTCATCATTCCATATTAAACAGATAAATAATCTCAAGAAAATGTTTTGTCTGTGTGTGTGTGTATTTTTCCTAGCCCTAGTAAATATATGTAAATATATATATATATATATATATATATATATATATATATATATTACACATACAATTAAAGAAATGACTGGCAACATTAGTTGCAAATAGAGTACTGTAAACAAACAGAACCAGGTTTAATGATTTAAACTGTAATTTAACAGCATTCAAAACACAGGATGTTTCCTGTAAACATCCAGTGTCTCTACAATAAAATCAACCATGATTTTACAGATGAATAATACAGCAGATATTAAACAGTAATATCTGTAAATATCTGGCATTCTGTATGACTATAATTACAATATGCAATTTATCTGATGCTTTCATACAAAGCTACTTACAATAAACCTATTGCAGTTTTGTTTGAAGTGTTACAAGTCACAATATGTTGGTGCCATTTCATCTTCCTTTGAGCCTACTGTACAGTAACCTTCAAAGTTTTGACAGTAGCTGTGAGAATTCATAGTAAAATACAATATATCGTTTCAGAATACAAGATGACAGCCTTTGTTTACTGTGATCATATTCCAGTATTTAGACTAAATACATACAAACGTTAACGTCTTGTTTTTTATTCTCTTGTTTTGATGACAGTTCCATAATGCTAATCAACTTGCTGCCTGGTGTTTACACCACATCTGCACCCATTACAACAGGATATGTGCCAATTACCGCAAAGAGATCAAGTCAAAATCAGCAGGTAAATGCATTTCCTGAACAGTTATGAGACAGACGCAAACCGTCACCATTGGAACTGCACGATTTAAAGCACCTGTAGTAACAATTTACTTTGCTTCATTACATAGAAGTAGCTATGATGAGTACATATGAGTCTTTAAGAGTGTCCTTTTAAAGAGATAGTTCACCCAAAAATGTAATCCACAAAATAAATTAATAAATAAAAAAGAAATACAAGTTAATAAAATTACATCAAATTTAATTTTATATATATATATATAGATATATTTAAACACTACTGTATATTGCGATTAAAATATAATAATAACATTAAATAGACATATTTAAAAAAGAAAAAAAACTTTACTGTAAGGTTCCATTTGTTATCATTGGTTAACTACATTAGTTAACATGAACTAACAATGAAAAATACATAAACATATATACATTAATAAAGCATTTATTAATCCTAGTAAATATTACTTTCAACATTTACTAATACTAAAAGCAAAAGTTGTATAATTAATTAAATAATTATTAAAAGTTGTATAAATAATGTTAATATTACGTAATGGAAATATGAACATGAATTAACATTTTTAATATTACTTAATGGTAATATAAACATGAATTAACATTAAACAGTTGTATTTTTATTAACTAACATTTAAAAAGCTTTATAAATACTGTAACAAATGTACTGCTTATTGTTAGTTAATGCATTAACACCCGTTAAAATTAAACCTTATTGTAACCAAATGGGTTATGGGTTACCAAAAAAAAAAAAAAAAAAAAAAACCTTAACCCTTATTAAAGTGGAAGCAGAAAAGGATAATTTTTTGCAAAATTCTCACACTGCTCTTTTATTAACATTTTGAATTAGATTTTATTTTTAGATTCTGCTTTCAATTTAATTTTTGTTCATTTTGTTTTGTTTTGTCATTTGTATTAGTTCCCCTTCTAGGGAACTCAACGCTGCGCCCCCTAGGGGGCACGTTGGGGAATGCAGCCTGCATGACCGGTGTCTGAAGCACGTGTGAAACAATGCCAATCTATTGGCCCACCTGGCCCATGACGTCATAGGCGGGATGCCCGGAAGTATAAAAGGGCACCTGCTGAATACATCATCCTCTTTGCTGTCTTTAGGAGCCGTCTGTTTGAAGTGCGTGTGAGAGACCAAGGCAGGTGAGCGGTGTGGAAAGTGTGTGCCTCCGTTCCAGAGGTTTCTGGCACTTGAGGACGCGCACAATCTATCTGTCATCTGTTTTTGGTCAGGAGCTTGCGCGTTTAGTGCTCGAGGGCTCTGAACGTGCTCATTGTGAGAGCACACGCATTCAGAGTTACGCGCTCATTGTGATGAGTCACGATGTCTAGGCTCCGCTCGCATTTGTTCCTATTCCCGAGGGATACGGAACAGAGCGTTTGTGTCTAAAAAAAAAAAAAAGAATAAACTTTAACCCTTATTAAAGTGGAAGCAGAAAAGGATAATTTTTTGCAAAATTCTCACACTGCTCTTTTATTAACATTTTGAATTAGATTTTATTTTTAGATTCTGCTTTCAATTTAATTTTTGTTCATTTTGTTTTGTTTTGTCATTTGTATTAGTTCCCCTTCTAGGGAACTCAACGCTGCGCCCCCTAGGGGGCACGTTGGGGAATGCAGCCTGCATGACCGGTGTCTGAAGCACGTGTGAAACAATGCCAATCTATTGGCCCACCTGGCCCATGACGTCATAGGCGGGATGCCCGGAAGTATAAAAGGGCACCTGCTGAATACATCATCCTCTTTGCTGTCTTTAGGAGCCGTCTGTTTGAAGTGCGTGTGAGAGACCAAGGCAGGTGAGCGGTGTGGAAAGTGTGTGCCTCCGTTCCAGAGGTTTCTGGCACTTGAGGACGCGCACAATCTATCTGTCATCTGTTTTTGGTCAGGAGCTTGCGCGTTTAGTGCTCGAGGGCTCTGAACGTGCTCATTGTGAGAGCACACGCATTCAGAGTTACGCGCTCATTGTGATGAGTCACGATGTCTAGGCTCCGCTCGCATTTGTTCCTATTCCCGAGGGATACGGAACAGAGCGTTTGTGTCTCGCGGCCCAGTTCCGCCATTGCCACGGCACAGTTATCTCAACTCGCGGTCATTGCTTTGATCTGCGGCATCCGCACACCCTCTCTTTACGGTTGTCAGATGCCACGGATATTGTTGGGTTGTTATGACGATGAAGTGTGAGCACAGTCATTTCAGCCCTGATCCTGCGAGATCGTGGGCGAAGCTATATTCAGCTCAGCCGTGCCTCTCTAATATGCATGTTAATGTGTGTGGAGAGCCTCGCTGGGTGTGAATATATTTAAATATCCTGTGGAGAGAGGCTTGCGAGTTTTCTCTCCCAGGGGTTTCAGCACCTAGAGGGGTTATGGGGAATATCTTTTTGCTCTGGAATATGGCGGTCTGAGAACAGCTATATTCTAGCCTAGATTTTAATAACTAGGTTGGGTTCCCCTTGGCACAAGTTCTCGAGTAAGTGCTGAAGTCTTTGTTTAGGAATCTGCTATTCGAGGATAGCTGTGTTCCAGCGCGGAGACCGATTCCCTTTTAGGGTTTTTAGATTGGGGTCTCTGTGAGCCCCTTGCCTGGACTGTGCTGTCTCCCCTTCGGGGTTTTAAATAGATGGTCCACTTCCGTGGCCTGGGCAATCTTCAGCCTTATCTGAGAGAACTGCTATTCGAGGATAGCTGTGTCCAGCCCTCTTTTGCTATGGCTACTGCTTACATCAGGCTTGATCTC